CAGCTGGCCCTCTTGACATACCCAACAGGCCAAGAGCTGAAAAAGCAGCCTGTTTATGGGAAATGTGGAGACAAGATGAGTGTCTGTAAGAAAATAACCTTGAAAGTCCCCAGCCTTATAGAAATTTGGTTCCATATTCAGAGTAGTGCCTCATATTTGGTAATCCTTTGCTGTTTGTTCTGCTGAGATTTCTCCTCCTCCCCCTCTCTCCAATTTCTAGAGGCACCTTTGGTTCTAGGGCCCACTCCCATGTCGAGGTTCCCTTTTCAACAGCAGGCCCCCAAAATATCTTGACTTGAAACCACAAACACATCTTTATCAAAGGTCATGTTAAGTCTGGGGAAGAAAATTCCTCCCTGGTGGAGAAGTACAGCGAAATGAAAATAGAAAGTGACCTTCTCAGCTGCGAGTGGCATGTATATGTGGGTGCTGACAGGCAAGAGTGGGCCTTCCCTCAGGAGGGGGAGGGGACATACCTCCTCTGAGTCTGGCCAGACTCTGGTCTGGATTGGAGCCTGTCGACATCCCCTGTAATGTTGACTTTGGGCTTTGTCATTCAATCTAGGTGGAAGACTACCTGTTTGAAAAAGCAGAAATCAACTTTTGGGCTGAGACCCTGACCTTCGTGAAGTACCTCTACAAGCACCTCTCCCATCTCCTCTCCAAGTCCAGCTGGTGTCCCCTCCGCCCTGAAAGCCTCCGTCATCTTCACAGGACAGCATCAGAGCGGTGCCACCTCCTTTCCCAGCTCTTCAGAGAACTGCCACCAACTGCTGAGTTTTTGAAGACGGTGGAATTCACAAGACTGCGCATTCAGGAAGAAAGGACTTTGGCTTGCCTGAGGCTGCTGGCCTTTCTGGAAGGAAAGGAAAGGGAAGACACCCTTGTTCTCAGTGCTTCGGACTCTGTTGCAGAAATGAATCCGTTCACTCTTGCAAGAACAGAAACAGCTTGTTGAAGAAAGAAGACTTTTGGGGGTGGGGGGAGTGCGGATTATTCCCCCACTAAATCTGCAGGAAACGTGTTGAACATAAATTCAAATATTTTCTCCCCTTCATGAGTCTAGTCTTCTGTCCCTTCCTACAAAGGAATTTTTCTTCAGCTCACTCATTCAGGGGAGCCTGGTTTATTGCAGCTACTGTAGGAAGTGCGGCTACCACGTTGAATATTTACTCTGTTCCCAGGTGCAGGCCACCTGCGGACCTGAATTCGCCTTTTTCTTCCCCCACAGCCTCTAACGTCCAGGCATAGTCAGCCCACATTTTCTGTGAACTGACTGTACAGAATTAGGTTTTAGCTCGTGACTTTCTCTCCTCTTTCCCACTGAATAGAAGAGCTGGATTAGTTGGCAAACAGCCCACTGGGTCAGAACTCTAAATTTTATTCCATTTTAGCTACAGCAGAAGTATGTTCCAAATGTTGGATCCTGGGAAAATTATAGATCTACTTCATAGAGATGGTTTTGTTTTTACCATCTACATGTTCAAGTCCTGCAGCGACCTGCACATGACGTCTGATTTATTAAAAGAGCTCCTACCCACCAAAAGTGTTTCTGGCAATGCTAGGAAACTTCGATTTTGCCACCCAGTGAAAGCATAGACCCTTGGCTGTGAGAAGGAAATCCAGGGAAAGAAAAGCCAGAATAAATGACTTGTTTTATTCCTACGCTGTTTACTGTCATTTTCTTGGTGGCAATAAAAGATTCTCATTTAAGATGTCAGAAAACACAATTATCCATTTCAGTGTTTGAATCCAGCAACCTTAAGGTTTTTCTGCCTTTTCCAAGCCCAACCCAGCCCTCTGCCTCAGACACCCAGCAGGTGTCGCTCTTGCATACATTTTTGCTTCATTGGCTTGCCATTTTTTCCTTCTCATTTCAGAATGAGTGTTATCCGCAGACAGCGATCTTGAAATTCATAGCTTGGATTGGTCAGAGTCTCATCCATATTCATTTTTCATCCTGGTTATCAGAATGATACCAGCTTTTAGGGACTGTAAATATTTTTAAATACTTCTCAGGTGAGCAATCACTTGGAACTATGTTATTGATGTTTGACGGTCTGAAGGGGCAGTTTAAAAGAGAGAAAGTTTGATATCATTTCCTACTGCAGAAAAGCTCGTATTTCAAATGTGTTTCTCTTTAAAAAAAACCACCTAACACTAAAAACACGGCCATACTGGAAGTACAGAAAAATAGCTCTGTAGGAAAAGGCAAGGAAAGGAGTAAACTTAGAATCCAAAGTTTTGTCCTAAAGAGAACAGGAAATTCCCTAGGTAGTTTTGGACTATTCGGCTCAAAATGTGTTTTTTTGTGATCCTGAATTAATTAGGATCCTGTGTAGCCCACACTTGATGGAAAGTTGCCAGTCTAACATTTCTTTTTGTTCTGAGAAGGACTGACTGGGTCAGAAGTCAGGAAATTGTTGGCATAATGCAGTGACGACCATGGTTCAATAACTATGAAACTGGCCCCGGTAAAGCCCAACTCATTGGAAACGGCCAGCGTTCCTTTTCTCTCCATTTAAAATGAAATAAAAGCAGATACATAATAATAAAAGCACCTTACACCAGCAGGTGCTCTTTACCAAAACATGTACCATAGCATATGTACATGTTATCTCTAGGATCCTTCTACCCAGCCTGCAAAGTGGGTGTTCTCATGGCTGCAGACTGGGAATTACCCCAGATTTTGATGATGGCTGGCTGTGGCCAGCCTGGGAGGACAGGAGGGACAGAAGTTTCTACTGGTTTTATATCTGAAATCTTAATACTGACCTACAATAGCAGTGAAATGGCTGTTTCACACTTGCCTGATGCATTCCCAGGGGAATCTTAGAATACTACTATCAGGGCAAACCTCAGACTCCATGTTTGGGGTCATTTCAACAAAGAACAAAACAGAACAGTTGGGGTTCTTGAGTGCTCTGGGCTGTGTCAGCCACAGCTGCCTGGGGGCCAGTGCAGGCTGGGTGGTGCAATCACCCAGATTGAAGCAATCCCCTCTTCCGGGGTCATTGCTCTTGGCTCCAAGCTAGACGGTCCAAGATTTGGTGCCCCTCAGGTCTGCATGCATGATCCTGTGGACCTCTACCCATCTGGCCACAGTCCAGAGACCCGGCTGTCTCCATTTTTATGCTTTGTCAATTTATTTTAATAAATGATATGGATTTATACCTGTACATCTTTTACACACCTTAACAGATAACGCATTTGCACCTTGACAAGGGTGAGAGATGAGTAAAGCAGGAATTATCTTAGTTTTACAAGGAAACCCAAGTACCAAAGAGATTATGTGATTTGCTTGAGACCACATGACTTGGAAAGGGCAGCGCCTGAACGCCAGCCCTGGGTTTCTGGTCCTAAAGTGCTTGCAGCCCACTGCAGACTCTAGCTCTCTGAGTGGGTGCTTAGGGAGTGACAGCAGGGGGAACTGCATGCAAACTGAACTCTGAGGCGTCAGTTCCATGAGTGGCAGGCCTGATGGCTTATTCCCCCACTTCCAGGTTAACGAATGGAAATGACCAAGAGGAAACAAGAAATAACCTCAATTTGGGAAAGGGGGCGTGGGTTGCTTCCTTCCCTAGAGGGAACTGGGCCTTCCAACTTAGGCCCAAATGCAGCCTAAGCTACCAGGTGTGCGAGATCATGGGCCCGCTCCAGGTTTTGGCAGCATATGTTTAGACGAGTGATAAGTGTCCTGGCCCAGACCCCACATCTGCCCGACCGGGCTGTCAGCGGCTTTTGCCTAACTGGGCGCTAGGGGGGGGCTGTCTGCCCCGTACCCTTGAGGGGGCCCCTTGGCAAAGGCATTACCCAGAGCAGGGCTTTGGGGTGTGGGACTGGTGAGAGGGGGGAAAAAAGAGGGCAAGCCCACCTTGAGCGTCCTCGACGCCCTGTACTGCCTGGGCAGTTGGCCGGCCTCAGCCCGAGCCTGCGGCTCACGACGAGCTAAGGCAGGGCGCGGCGCCCCCAACGGCCAGGGAGGAAAGGGACGTGGAGGGCACGCCCGGCCACGGCCGCGGCGGCCGGGGAGCCTCAGCCGGCAGCTGCACCCCATCCCCTGGGAGGGCTGGGGAAGGCCGAGCTGACCGGCGGACGGACGGGGTGGCGGGAAGTCGCCTCCAGGCCTGCGCAGCTCTCCTGGCCTTTCCTCCCGTCCTCCCAGCCGGCTCCCCCGCCCGGGACGCCCCGCGCCACTGCGCGCCTTTGGCCCTAGCTCAAGGTCTTGTGATGTGATTAGCAAAGCCAGCGCCTTGTCCTCAGACACTCAGCCCTGCCCTGCAGGCCCCGGCGCTCAAGCCCTGTTTACTGCAGCCTGGGCGGGGACGGGGGCGGAGAAACGGGCCCAGGCTCCTCCGGGCGAGACTGCCGCGGCAGCCGCCCGCGTGGCCGCTCCCGCCCCCACCCCCACCGCGCCTCCACGTGCAATCGGGATGGGGCCACCACCCACCGGACGCAGGCCCCGAGCCCCCGCCTCCCGGCCCAAGCACCCTTTGCAAGCCAGCCGGGCCGCGCGGACGGTTGCAATATTCTTGCATTTTGCAATTCCCGCGCCCAGTATAAAACCCAGAGTGGGAGATAAAAGCTTCGCAATTTCGCCTAGCAGGATCCGGCGCGAGGAGACACGTCCAGGGCTGCAGAACTCTGGTCACTTTAAACGTGCAGTGGATTTCCAACAGGGCAGCCCCAGAGAAGAGGAGCCTTATCTTCCCGCCGCCACCCAGCAGCACCCAACAGGGCCGAGCTCTCCACGCCGCCCCGGGCGCCCCGGCAGCCTGCCCCGCCCCACGGCCTCCCGCCCCCTCCGGAGAAAAAAAATTGGCGGCGGCCAATGGGAGGCCACGAAGGCGCTTGACGTCCGCGAGCCGGCGGGCGGCGTTGCTTGGAGACCCCGGCGGGGTCAGCGTTCAGTCCCCTCCTCCGGCACGCCCGCCTAGCCGCTGCTGCGCTCCCGGGCTCTATATAGGGCGCGCGCTCGCGGGCCGCGGAGTTCCAGCAGTCCGCGAGCTGTCGTCGGCTCCGCGCGGGGGGGGGCGGGCCGGGCACCCCGGGGCGCGGAGGAGCGCTGTTTGCTTCTCCTTTCCCCCCACTCCGCACTCCCGGGCACCCTCAAGCCAGTCCACGCTGCTCCCCTCTTCCTCTTGTCTCGTACCCCGGCAAACTTTCGGTTCCTCCCCCGCCCCTCACCCGTTATTCGTCGTGGCTCGAGCCCGGCCGCTCCGCCCCGAGGGCTCCTCCGGACCTCCCTGCCTGCAGCGCCGACCATTACAGGATCCAGAAACATGTCGACCACACTTCTGTCCGCCTTCTACGATATCGACTTCTTGTGCAAGGTACGCGAGGGAGCAAGGAGGGAGTAAAGCGGGCAGGCAGGAAGCCCCTCGAGTTTTCAGACTTTGCCTCTGCCCTCGGCTTTTGGGGCACCCATCCCCACCTTGACTTCGGGGTCGGGAAAAATCCCGGAGTTTGCTGTAGTGTGTGCTCGTGCCTTGTGGGCGGGGAGAAGGAGCTGGGAGGAAGGGCAGGGGGGAGCCGCTGTCGCTGTTTAGTTCCTCCGGCGCCGACCGCGGCCACGCTGCCCGGGGCTTCCCGGACGGGGTTTGCGCCGCCCAGACTGGCGGCCCACGGGCTGAGGATCACATGTCGAAACCGAGCGCGGCCTGGGGTGGGAGTCGGCTCCTCCCAACGCGAACATGATTCTTTTGCGCGTGTAGGGGCGGAGGGTGGGGGCCGAATCGAAATCTGCAAAAAGGAAGAAGAATCAGAAGGCTTGGAAGTTCCTCTGCAACTCGCCCCAACTCTTCCCTCCCTTTCCATATTTCATCCCGTCCTCGCCCCCTCCTTTTGGCAGACGGAGAAATCCCTGGCCAACCTCAATCTGAACATGCTGGACAAGAAGGCGGTGGGGACGCCCGTGGCCGCCGCCCCTAGCTCGGGCTTCACACCGGGCTTTCTCCGACGGCACTCGGCCAGCAACCTGCACGCACTCGCCCACACCGCGCCTAGCCCCGGCAGCTGTTCGCCCAAGTTCCCGGGCGCGGCTAACGGCAGCAGCTGCGGCAGCGGGCCGGCGGGCGGCCCGGCCTCCTACGGCACTCTCAAGGAGCAGTCAGGGGGCGGCGGCACGGCCCTGCTGAACAAGGAGAACAAATTCCGGGACCGCTCATTCAGCGAGAACGGAGAGCGGAGCCAGCACCTCTTGCACCTGCAGCAGCAGCAGCAGCAGCAGCAGAAGGGGGGCGGCGGCTCCCAGATCAACTCCACGCGCTACAAAACTGAGCTGTGCCGGCCCTTCGAGGAGAGCGGCACGTGCAAGTACGGCGAGAAGTGCCAGTTCGCTCACGGCTTCCACGAGCTGCGCAGCCTGACCCGGCACCCGAAGTACAAGACGGAGCTGTGCCGTACCTTCCACACCATCGGCTTCTGCCCCTACGGCCCGCGCTGCCACTTCATCCACAACGCCGACGAGCGGCGGCCCGCGCCGTCGGGGGGCGCCTCCGGGGACCTGCGCGCCTTCAGCGCGCGTGACGCGCTGCACCTGGGCTTCCCCCGGGAGCCGCGGCCCAAGCTGCATCACAGCCTCAGTTTCTCGGGCTTCCCGTCTGGCCACCACCAGCCCCCCGGGGGCCTCGAGTCGCCACTGCTGCTCGACAGCCCCACGTCGCGCACGCCGCCGCCACCGCCCTCTTGTTCCTCGGCCTCCTCCTGCTCCTCGTCCGCTTCGTCCTGCTCCTCGGCCTCAGCGGCCTCCACGCCATCAGGCGCCCCGACGTGCTGTGCCTCGGCGGCAGCTGCGGCCGCGGCAGCGCTTCTGTACGGCACCGGGGGCGCCGAGGACCTGCTGGCGCCGGGCGCCCAATGCGCGGCCTGCTCGTCGGCCTCGTGCGCCAACAACGCCTTTGCATTCGGCCCAGAGCTGAGCAGCCTCATCGCGCCCCTCGCCATCCAGACGCACAACTTTGCCGCAGTAGCCGCGGCGTACTATCGCAGCCAGCAGCAGCAGCAGCAGCAGCAACAGCAGGGCCTGGTGCCCCCCGCGCAGCCTCCGGCGCCGCCCAGCGCGCCCCTCCCTGCCAGTTCTGCCGCGCCGCCCTCACCGCCCTTCAACTTCCAGCTGCCGCGCCGCCTGTCCGAGTCTCCCGTGTTCGACGCGCCCCCTAGCCCCCCGGACTCGCTGTCTGACCGCGACAGCTACTTGAGCGGCTCCCTGAGCTCCGGCAGCCTCAGCGGCTCCGAATCCCCCAGCCTCGACCCCGGCCGCCGCCTGCCTATCTTCAGCCGCCTGTCCATCTCTGACGACTGAGGCAAGAGGGCGCCAGCGAGGAGGAGGAAGGGAAGGCTGTTCTGGGGATATTGGAGGGCGCCCCTGCCGTCTCGACCCCCGTTAAGGGCGGGGTGGGGGAGGCACGGGAGTGGGGTTGGTGATAGGCCCTGAGCAGACTGCGGGCCGCACCGAGCACTTGGACTCGAACTTGTGTGCCGGGAGGGGCCTCCACCCCTCCCCTTTCGGTTTCCTCTTTTTTTTTTTTTTTTTTTTTTTA